ACACCTTGGTTCAAATTTTATTGCTTATATCCACATATGCGTGACATATTCGCAATTCGCGTGAAACTTCTGACTGAACTGTTCGATTATTTTTTCGGCATGAACTCTAACATTTTTGCTTGACAATTATTTGAAAAAATGCCTATTTTTATATGCGTGACAAAAACATCTCAAAATTAACGCAAAATCCTGTTTTCCCAACACCCTATTCACAGCCTCGGGCGTCAGGGTGAAAAGTATGTGTTATATGTGAAATAGATGTAGATGTTTTGAATAATTTACCAAAATTTCAATCAATCATATTTATTTTTTTAGTTTAAAATGATAAACACAAGATGTTTGCGAAAAATTCCCATCTAATTTAAAGCAGCATCCATCTTGAAAATTTTTTTTACGTAAAACTATTTACCAATATACATCTTTCTATCAAATATGAAGAAAATCTGTCAACTAGTATCTTCTGGATGCACAGACAGATGGACAGACATCATTTGTTGTTGCTGCATTAGTGTCTTCATTCATTGTCTTCTTTCTTTGTCTTGATTTAGTTGTTATGTTAGTTATCTTTCTTCAGGGTCCACAGACTTGAGACTGTGTGTAGGTGGGTTAAACATTTTGATTCGGCCGGAAAACTCTCCCCTTCCCCTTACTGGTGTTCTTATGTTGTCTTCTGTAGTCTGCAGGTTCCTTCCTTTAACTTGTGATTGGTTGTCTAACTTCTCGTAGTTTACCCTCTTTGCAGAGAACATACTGTTTCATATTCATTGGACGGATGGAGGGCTGCACTATATCCCTACCGAACTTCTTTTGTTGGGATAATCAAGCATTTCAAACTTTTCACATAGTCCTTTGATTTAAGCTCTATTACAAAATAAATGATAGACAATTCAACAAAAGTTATATCTATGATCAAAGGCCTCATTATTTGTAGTACGTTCTTGAAGACGGCAACAATTTGCATTCTATTCTCATGGGCCCTGGTGTCTGATATTTTGTCAAGGGTTCAATCAATCAATACTCACTGGCAAGACAGTGTTAGCCTCATTACTTCACTTCCTGGTTAGTCTAACCTGGGCACTCTAATTTCAGAAAGAAAGCAATGACATCTAGTTCAAATATAACATTCATTCATATTAGGTATGGAAGTGTTAGCAGAAAGATGTATGAGCACTCTTGCTGATACATATCAACAAGGGAAACCTTTGTCAAGTTTAATGCCCATTTATGGCACCTTAGTATCAGTACATATGCTAAATTTACTAAAACCTGAATACCCATAAAGAATATAAAAATGACATTCTAAAGACACATAATTGATTATATGAAAGAAAATCAGATCTATAAGATATGCTCTGGGGGTCAGTTAGACATTACAATGCTTCAGTGAATATTTTATTAACTAAAATATTGATTAATAGTAATAGTTAGATAACAGCACAAAATGTCTATATTTCCGTTTAAAAACATTTCCAATACGGCTAGTAAACCATTACAAGCTTAACATGTTATTCAAACAATAACAAACAAGTGATCATTTAAAAAAAATGAAGGCTCATGTGAAGGAGATGTTTGCAGTGTTGTAATGAATTGAAATGAGTTGTAAAGCAGGTGTTCCTTACAGAAGAGTGTTTTACTGTATAAGTAAATTGCCAAGCTTACTTTTAACGGGGTTGTAATTTACCGAACGGCAAAAGTAGAAAAAATCTGAACATTTTGAACTGATTAAGATCTTTACATTGTGAAGGTCTGAGTACCTGGACCTCTTAGAAAACATCCAAACATATCAAAAAGTGAAGATGGGTCCATTTGATTCTCGTTCTCCGAAGATATTAATAAAATATTTAAATGTTCAGAGTTTTTTTAATGCTGTAAATTGTTCACAATTCTAAATCAAGAAGTCACTCATATTTCTGTCGTATTTAGGAAATCATGTTACTGAAAATCAGTGCACAGTGTTCATGGTGTTGTTGTAAAATTGCTTAATATTATAAACTAACACCTTAGGGTTAAACTTTTGCTCGAGGAATTAACTCATTTTCATCAATAAATATTAACCCATCAGGTTTTCTACTAGTAAACTAACATTTAAACCTCAGTCCATTGTCGTTTTCACTTACTACTAAACCCAAGTGAGATATGGCTCTTGCCTCAGAACGAGCCAATAAATGGTTAAAGTATGGTAATACAAAATTTATCTAAAACATGATCTGTAAAAAATGTAGTAACAAGGGAAAGGCTCTTCTAAACATGCTGAATCATAAACTGATTTAAACATTTAGTGTTAAACACTTTAATATGTAATATAAATTCTTCATACTTTTATTTTATCCTTATCTAAATACATCACATCCTAAAAACATTTGATTAAATGGTGTACTTGTTAGTCACAGACAGGAGAAACATTGCATGGATAACAATTATTCAAATTAAACTATTCATTCTCCTAAGTGACCCAAAGAGTGCTTACCAGTTGAAATATTTACATTAGGGAATAATAGTACACTTATAATAGGACAATGAATGTGAAGGAATCCATACACGAAGTATTTCATTAAGGCTTGAAAACCTAATAGATAAAAGAGAAAATTATGCAATGGTAAGCATTAACATTTTTGTACACTGTACAACTTTGAAGATGTATATATGGTTGTTACAGAGAGCAAAAGTACTTTTTTTTGTCCATCAGTTGGTTGTCTTCTAAGTAGAAACAATTGACTGGTCGAAAATATTCAAAGAAAAGATAAGAACCTACATAAATAATTTCAACATAAAAGCTGTTACTAATGACTGCAATTTCACTTCTAGCAAATAAATGCATAAAGTAATGTATTTTACAAACATAACTACAAATTATGGCAAATCATATTCATGTGAGGTATCTCTGCTTCCAGTCAATCAGAACATGCTATTTCATATAACTGCATTGCATTATATAACCAATAACTCACCTAAGGTCATTTTCAGATGCTAGTGAAAATAATGAAACCCATAAGCTGATCAATTTCAGAGTTGAGTAAAAAATAGTAAGCCATATGCTTATGCAGGTCAAATGGTAAAAGTAGAATGGTTGTCAAGGAGACAAACTGACCCTTGGAAAAAGTTTATCAAGTAATATTGTATAAAATATTTTGAAATATCTTTCAATTATTTTTATATATAAAAATATAAGAATCTAAGTCCAATTATCAATGCATTGTGGCTGATTTATTCCAATCAGGAACTGATATGAAATCAGGGCTTAAATTCTTAAACTACCATCCATATTATCACACCGGAATTGCCTGACAACGGTGACGTCAGATGCCGTTGTCACAAATGACGGACATAACCATCGCTTCAACTCTTCAATCGTTTGGTCCTTGTTTCATGGGACTTTATCGTCACTAATTCTGTGCATGTGTAAAGCTTGTGTGATGGTGTATTATATGAAATCCCAATTTCTATCAAGTGGGGTCGTGAATCGCCACAATATAGCGTCTTTGATATCATCAATGACAACGGAATCTCAATTTGAAATAATTTACAAAGACAACGGCATATGGTAAGATGTGATAACGGACTATGGTGGATGTATAGCATTGGAGCATAGGAAAATGACAACACTAAATAGACACTTTACATCAACGTTGTCAAATATTACCGTTGTCACCTGGATTTTACATCACATTTGACCCACACCTACTGTTTTAATTTATACAGTATCCATTGTCCTGTGTCATATTCAGATCGGTAAAATTAAAGCCTTTATTTTGATAGTAGAACATATTTAACTATATGATCAGAAGAAAACACTTTGAGTGATTGAAGTACCAAAGGAACTTAATCTAGTTGCTCTATTAAACATACAGTTCGTGAAAATCTAATTGAAGCGATGGTTATGTCCGCCATTTGTGACAACGGTATCTGACTTTACTGTTGTAAGGCTATTCCGGTGTGATTATAAAGTATGATAGATAAAAAACCATAGGCAACACCTACATTGCAGTGAGTGATCAAGTAAATATAACAAGATCACTCCATAGCAAAAAAAGATAAGGTCAGATATATGGTATTTACAGGAAATAAAAGAGATCTTTACTGGGGATTAATAGCTAGCTATAATATCAACTCTTATAGCTAGCTAAGAACATTCTAAACATAGTTATTATCAAACATCAAATCGAATATCTATATGGCAGTCATTTTGATTGAATAATATTGAATGAAATAAATCCATTGCTTTTTCAGTTTTAAGATAGCGGACCAATATCAAGATTCAAAAAGCTACAGTACAAATATATTGATCAAAAAGTAAGAGTGTGATGAATGCCACGTGTAAAAATGATAACCTCTTTGGAAAATGGGTTCTAATTCTTTTTTAAACAATGCGTTGATTTTCCTTTGAAAATGTAAATGTCGAAGACTGCTCGTGATTATTTACCCACAACCATTACCAGCAACTTTACAAGCATACAGTCAGTATTTGAGTTTACATCTGGTTAAATGACAGGGAGGTAGATGGAGGAATTTTCTATATCCTTCAGTAGGATATATATATATATATATATATATATATCTAATTTGTAGAGGTGTCACGGATACCCGATTTTGTTCTGATCTGCGGAATTATGCCCTCGGAACAGAACACGGAACACAAATTGAGAATTTCTGTTCGGTTTCGGAACAAGAACATTTTACCCTTTCACAACTTTTGGCCCTTAAATCGCCACAAAACAGCATTTTTCTTTCAATATTTTGCACCAAAAGAGGTTCATTCTTTTCACTCCTTCTCATTGAAGAGTTTTGAAGAGCTTTTCGCTACCAAATAGACCTAGATGATCGACCATTCCGAAATTGTTCCATTCCGAAGCAAAATGTTCTGAACCAAACCATTCCGATTTATTTTTGTTCCATGACATCTCTACTAATTTGTATGAACAATCCATGTCTCCATCCCATCTGGCACCAAAATCAGTTAAACAAGCGTTGAAAAAATGTCACAAATATCTTTAACAACTTACCATTTCCTTTACTCTGACTCCTTGAACTCATGCATGGTTGAGTATAAGATGTTACCTGTAAAATAATAGATAAAATATTATGTGAGCTTAAAATTTCCTGTTGCTGCCAAAATAATCAATAATAGGTTTTATAATAGTTGATGTAACTGAAATGCACAAAATAAAACACAATACTTCTCACAAAGTGTACACTACACTATTAGTTCAGGCTGGCAAAACTCATTATAAGGAAAACAAAATTATTATGAAATATTACGTTCCTACTCAGCTTTCAGTGCCACATAGAATTTAATTATATTTCTCGGAAAACAGATAGTTTTTGTAATAGTTAATCAGAACTCAAATGTGCCTGGGATTTGAGATAATTGTTCGAAAGTGATCATGAATGCAAAAAATATTGTTGAGATAATTTGAAAACCAACTGAATCCTGGAGACTTTATTGATAGTCAGAATGATATTATTTAATGCCACGGTTGTAAAAGCACTTACCGGTATATTCAATGCTAGGAGTAGTTTAATTGAATCAATACGCTTTCTTAAAGCAATGAAGAACCGATGTTTCTTATATTCATTCAGACAAAACATTAAAACATATATGTTGGTTATTTGAAATATATTTGCAACAAATCCAAAGAGTAGCAAACAGCAGTGAATTATCATGAGACAAAGACGTCATAACTAAATATTTGGGCAATACTTGTAGATTCAAACATATGGGCTGCTTTTAAAAGTATTTTTAATCTAACAAAGTACTATAGTCTCCCAGGGAAAAAAATATGTGCTCATGCATATGCAACATTTGAACCAAAGGATAGGTATTGATATGGTGAACTGAATTCAACAATGTTTATCTCTTAAACCAATTATTGAAAACATTCTGTAAAAAAAATGGTCCTCTATCTAATGTTCACTGATTGGCAACAATTTAATGCAAAAATTATTTATAATTATTTTATATAACTCTTTTTATTCACATATTTTGTTTTTTAGTGCAATTGTTTTTTGTTCCTTTCTACCAATTCTTGAGAATGAAATAAAATGTCTTTCCGAACCTTGTTGGAACAAAACAGCATATACAATATTTTCTTAGACCTCTCAATATTACAGTTATACAAAGGAAATTTTGGTTGATTTAACAAAAACAAAACCCCCAAAATAGATAAAAATTAAGATAAACATTTTATTTCATTAACAAGATACTTTTTTAAAATCAACCGAACTTTCCTTAGTACAATTACAATATTGACAGACCTAAACACATTGTGTTTATGTCGTTTTGTTCCAATGAGGTTCGGATAGATGTTTCATTTCTTTCCGAACATATCATACCAAGAACAAAAGAAGTGCCTGATGTGTTTTCTAAAACAATATAGAGAAAAGTATATATACAGGGTGGGCCCAAAAAAAATACCCAACTTTAAATCAGAATGAAAATAGCTATGTTCAATATGATACATTGTTTTAGATATCATTTTAATGGTAATCCATTTTCGAACAATTTGGTATGTAACACTATGTCATTAAATCAATATTAAAGTTTTATTATGCTTATTTGGGAGGCCGGTTCTGTATTTAAGGTATCCAGATTTTAGGGAGAAAATAGTAAATCTGCGGAATATTGTTAATTTTTTATTTATAGAATATCATTTTGTTAGGTGAATACATGCTTGTATATTTGCATATTGTGCATTTATGAATTTTAGTGTTGTTTATTATGAATAAGGACTCAAAGTTAAAAGACATTAAACGTATATGTAACGAGGATTTTATTTTCCAACAAGACATTGCCCCGTACCATAGATCAAAGGAGACATTGGCATTTCTTTGCAAACAAGGTGTCAATTTGATTGATCTCGATGCTTAGCCACCAAACAGCCCCGATGCTAATGTGTTAGATTACTTTACATGGAGCCATCTCAAGGAAATGAAACAATACAATAAACAGCATTGATGAGCTGAAACAGAATCCTAAAGTGCTGAAATGAATTGCAACAGACATCTCTCAATAAGGCCATTGATAGATTGCACCACCACCTTGAAGCTTATTGTTGATGCAGAGGGGAGGGATGGGGGTATATTGAGCAATTGTTAAAATTGTTTAAATGAATAAAGTGTTAAATGTTATTAAACAACACTGAAATCCATAAACAATAAATTAAGTCACACAATGATGCAAATATCAATATCCAAGCATGTATTCACCTAACAAAAGAATGGTATTCGATAAATCAAAAGAAACATAACTCCGCAGATTTACTATTTTCTCCCTTAAATCTTGAGACCTTAAATATCAACCCGGCCTCCCAAATAAGTATAATAAAACTTTACTATTGATTTCATGAAATAGTGTTATATACCAAATTGTTTGAAATTGTATTACCTTTAAAATGATATGTAAGTAAATGTACCACATTGAATGTAACTATTTGTATCATGATTTGAAGTTGGGTATTGTTTTTTTTGGCCCACCCTGTATATTTCAAATTATAATGTTACCATCCAATAGATGACCATTAAATTGACGATGTGAGGGGACTAAATTACTGACCCTGCAGATTACCCCTAAAGTGATTTGCTGTTACTTCAAAATAAGCACATTTAATCTAGGTACATTTACAAATCATTTATCAAATATTATGTTTTATCAAGATTTATTATAACTACAAATAGTACAAGATCTCGTCCAAAAGTATCATTCTGTTCGTTGATCTGCAGAAATCGTGAATCTTTGTATGATGAAACAACATTATATTGCAATAAATTTTAACTGCCTGAGCAAGTTGAAGGGTGGGTATCACGAGAGAAAATGAGGGTGGGTATCACGAGAGAAAATGAGGGTAGACCCCCTCCCCCAAATTATTTGGGGGTCAAAAAGAAAAAAAATGTGGGCACTCTTTTATGTCCAAATTACTCATAACTATGCCCAAGATGGTCAATTAATATAAGGACACCATTTATTAGGAATTTTGCAGGAAATTTTCAATTAATTTGTGATTTTAGGCATTTTACTACCCTTGATTCAATTTTGAGTATATCTAATTTCAAGAATATTCCCTCATAACTTTTGTTGGAGTGCATTGATGGCTATGAAAAAATCAACGACCTTGCTCAAGTATCATTTGATAGAGTCAGAAAGTATGACAGTGATATGTCAAATTAATATGGAGAGAAAAAATCTCGACAACCCTACTTCAAGAGTGGGGTAGGGACCAATATGAAAAAAATATTTTGTGAGTACATTATTTATGCAAATTGTTTTTTATCCTGCCTAAGATGGTCAATTAGTATGAAGTTCACTATTTATTAGACATTTTGCGGGATGTTTGGAATTAAAGGGGCAATAAGGCTTGTAGAGAGAAAATAGGAAAATTTTAACTTTTTCTGAGCTATCAAGGCAACATTTGGCTTAACATCTTATTCAACATACCTATTTTCTTAAAATGTATGGATAAACTATCAATTTTGGCATTAAAAAGTGTAAATTCAGTTCAAAGCTTCAAAAAGTGTACGTCCACTTTTATATTTTTAAGATCCACCATGTTTCAAGAGAATATAAGCTGAAATAATGATTATCTAGGGGGTTTCTTTGTAGAAAATAAAAATAGATGTTAGTCTTGATGAAATATCCAAACTTAAATATATTTTGACACTGGTCCATGATCGTTGAATGGCCCCTCTGCACTACTTGTTGCACCTTTAATTTGTGATTTTAAGCATTTTTCTACACCCAATTCAATTCTGAGTATATCTAATTTGAAGAACATTCCCTCATAACTTTTGTTGTAGTGCATAAATACCTATGAAGAAATTCTACAACCTTGCTCAAGTATCACTTGGTAGAGCCAGAAAGTATGACAGCGATGTGTTGAATTAATATGGAGAGAAAAAATCCCAACAGTCCCTTCTTCGACAGTGGGGTGGGGGGTCAATATGAAAACATATTTTGTGAGTTCATAATTTATGAAAATTCTCACCCCTTCTTCAACTGAGGGTAGGGGGTCAATTTGAAAAAATATTTTTCAAGTCCATTATTTGTGCAAACTCCTTTTTATCATGCCTAATATGGTAATTGATTGAAAATTCACTATTTATTAGCATTTTGCATGATATTTTGAATTAATTTTTGATTTTAAGCCCTTTACTATCCCCCGATTCAATGTTGAGTATACCTTATTTCAAAAGTATTTTCGCATAACTTTTTTTTGAGTGCATGGACGTCTATGAATAAATTCCAAAATATTGCTCAAAAATCATTGGACAAATCCAGAGAATGACAGTAATGTGTCTAGTCAATAAGAAGACAAAAATTATAACAACCCATCCACTTCTTCAACAGAGGGTAGGGGGTAAATATGTAAAAAATATTTTGTGAGAATATAATATGTGCTCACTCTTTTTAAGCATGACTAAGATGGTTGATTAACATACAGTTTACTATTTATTAGACATTTTGCAGGTTATTTAGAATCTATTTGTGATTTTAAGTTTTGTTTTACTAATCTCCCATCACATGTTTAGTATTATATTATTCCAAGAAATTCCCTCATGTATTGTATTGTATTGATGCAAATCAAAGAATTCCACAACATTACTAAAGTAGCATTTGATAGATCAAGAAAGTATGGCATTGATGTGTCCAATTGTTGTTGAGAAAAAAACACAAGAACCCCACGACTTCTCCAACATGGGGTAGGGGGTCATTATGAAAAACATGTTTAGTGAATACAATATTTGTGCACTCTCTTTTATCATGCCTTAGATGGTCAATTGATATTGACAATTGCTATTTATTAGATATTTTCAAAATATTAATATGTGGCCTTTTACTGCCCCTCCCACTCCAATTCAATGTTGAATATATTTAGTTTCAGGAGTTTTCTCTCATTAGTTTTTATTGTAGTGCATCAAACCAAATGAAAAAATTCAACAACATTGCTTAAATATCACTTGATAGATCCATAAAGTATGGAGAAGTATGGAGAGAAATATTTATAATAACCCTACCCCTGCTTAAACAGAGGGTGGGGGTCAATGTGAAAAATATATTCAGTCAG